TATGTTGAAAAGGTATGGAGATAGGACACATTCCCTGGCATACATCCTTCCCAATTTTGAACCATGCAGTGTTTCCTTGCTCTGTTCTGATGATTGCATCCTGGGTCAAGTATAAGTTTCGCATTAGAACGATCAAGTGTTCTGGGATTCCCATTCTTCTCAGAGTCAGGCACAGTTTGTTGTGATCCACACAGTCAAACACCTTTCCATAATCAATGAAACACAGATAGACATTCCTCTGGTACTCCCTGTTTTCAGCCAAGACCCATCTAACATTAGCTACAATATCCCTAGTACCACAACCCTTCTAAACCCAGCCTGCTCTTCTGGCATTTCTCAGTTGATGTTCCAGTTGTTTTGGATAATCTTCAGCAGAATCTTGCTTGCATGTGATACCAATGGTATTGTTTGATAATTTCCACACTCTGTTGGGTCACCCTTCTTTGGAAAGGGAACAAATAAAGATCTCATCCAGTTAGTTGGCCAAGTGGTTGTCCTCCAGATTTCTTGACACAACTTGGTGAGCATATCTAGGGCAGCATCTGTTAGTTGAAATACGTCAAATGGTATACCATCAATTCCTGGTGCCTTATTTTTTGCCAATTCCTTCAAAGTAGCTTGAACTACTTCATTACCACAGGCTCTTGCTCATATGTTGTTTGAAATTCTGTGTCTGCCAATTCCTTTCAATATAGTGACTGTATACTCTTTCCATCTTCTTTTAATACTTCCTGGGTCATTTAATATTCTGCCCAAAACTTCCTTATTAAGTATAGCATCTTGAGGTCTGAATTTGTTCTTCAGTTCCTTCAGCTTAAGAAATGTTGAGCGAGTTCAGCCCTTTTGATTTTCTGACTCCAGCTCCTTGCACATTTCATTGTAATATTTTACTTCGTCTTCCTGCGCTGCCTTTTGAAATCTTCTGTTCAGCTCTTTAATATCTTTAATTCTTTCCTCTGCTTTGGCTTCTCTGTGCTCTAGTGCAATATTCAGAGTCTCTTCTGATATCCATTTTGGTTTTTCCTTCCTCCTCTGTCTTTGTAATTATCTTTTGCACTCTTTCTGGATGATACTCTTGATATACTTTCACAACTCATCTGGTCTTCGCTCATTGGTGTTTTTTTTATTTTTATTTTTATTATTTTTTTTTGCTCATTGGTGTTTAAGGCCTCAAACCTGTTCCTGAGATGATTCTGACATTCAGGTGGAATAGACTCAAGGTCATATTTTGGTTCCTGTGGATTTGTTTCATTTTCCTCAGCTTCAGCTTGAACTTACAAATGAGTAATTGGTGGTCTGTTCCACAATCAGCACCTGGCCTAGTTTTCACAGCTGATATTGAGCTTCTCCAGCGGTTCTTTCCACAGATGTAATCAATCCAATTCCTATGCAAACCATCAGGTGAAATTCTAGTATATAACCTGTGTCTGTTTCTTATAAAATGTATTTGCAATGAGTAAGTTGTTGATAGTGCAAAATTCAACCAGCTTCATTTCTGTCACAGAGTCCATGTTTTTCAACTACTGATTCTTCTTCTCTGTTCCCAACTTTTGCATGTTAGTCACTCATTATTATTAATGCATCTTGATTGAATGTTTGATCAATCTCTGACTGTAAAGGTTGATAGAAATCTTCTATTTCTTCTTCTTTGGCCCTGGTTGTTGGTGCGTATATCTAAATGATAGTGGTATTCACTGGACTTCCTTGTGTGCATATTGATATTATCCTGTCACTCACAATAGTGTATTTCAAGACATACCTAGAAATGACTTTTTTAACTATGAAAGCAACCCCATTTTTCTTAACCTTTTCATCTCTAGAGTAATAGATCATATGATCATCCAACTCAAAATGCCCCATGCCAGTCCATCTCATCTCACCAATGCCTAGTATGTCAATATTTATGCATTCCATATCTTCCTTAACAATATCTAATTTACCTACATTCACGGTTCTCACATTCCATGTTCCAATCACTAGTGTCCGCTTACAACGGTTCCTCTTCCCTTGTATTTCTTTTTTTTTCTATAATTATATTTTATTAATTTTCATAAACATTTACAGAGATTTTGGGTTTCCATTCATTCACCGCTGCAC